ACTTATCCACCAAAATAACCACGTATATTCTAAAATTCAGTTACTAAATACATAATTTTTTTGTATATTTTAAAAAATATTAAAAAAACTATTATTTGTAAACTAAAATTTATTTATCAAATTAATTATTAAGTATTTATGTATGGATGCATATATTGTTTAAATTATTTGTGTACAGATAACATAATTCATATCTACGTATCTATTATACAATTAATAACAAGTAACATTGTTAATTTATCTGTGAAGGCAACTAGATAGGTAAGCTAGGTAGCTAGTACTATAGTTTACGTTAACATAGAAGACTTTTCTTTATAATTTTCTTTTCTTCTTTTTTCTTTTTACCTGCTTAGGTTTCTAGTTTGGTTGTTAAGAGGGTAGTGATTCCTTACATTGTGGTTCTGTTACTGGTTTGTTGTGTTGTGTCGTTATGCACAAAACTAGTCCACTGATAAAGTTCTCTTTTCTAAAATGTGTCTTTCACCATTTCCTTTTCTTTGTAACACACTACTGTGTGTATGTGTTTCCTTCTCTTTGCTTAGATGGATCAGAAATTCAGAATCCATCATCAGCAGTAGTAGACTACTAGTATTCGTATGCGAGTAGTAGCTTTCTTTGCTTTTATATTATAGGTCACTTATTTATTACCATAAACAGAATTTCCTTCCATTTCATTTCAGCCTTCTTTTAATCATTAAATATTAATTATATTTCCCCAACTAGGTTCTAATTATTTGCAATTTTCACGCTCTATAATTTCCTATGCTTCCTAATATAATTCACATGCTATATATATTTAACGAGTTCGATTAGAGAACTAATTTTCAATTAACATCATATTTTAAATTATTTTTTATTCTAATTATATATCTTGAGTCTTAAACAGTAAATTTTAAGTTCCACCTTTTTCACAAAAATAACGACAATAAAAAATTATAATAAAGAAAATAACTAATGTTAGATTACTTTCCCATACTTGTTTATACAGTCTATATATGGTAGCATTGTAGTGCGGGACTTATTCGAGGTATATCTAAATGAGATGGATATGACTTCTATTAGAAGTATGTGAGCCCTGTATTTGTATTTTAATTTTTATGGGATGTAAAAGAATAAAATTTGTATAATAAAATTTTTTTTCATAAAATACCAATTTTTTTTATAAATATATCAATTTACATATATATTATAATTTCTATCATTCTTGTACCGAATAACTTCTTTCATTCTTTCGTTGATATCATGTTACTTGGTTCAATTAGTCCAAACTTTTAAAGGTTATATTATTGCTAAAGAAAATACTCGCATCTTGTGATTTAAAATGTGATTTTTCACATTAAAAATGTCTTCTCTTATTTAAATATGGGAGGATTTTAATTATTTTATGTTTGCATGTTTTTGTAAGGAGCGGGTAGGAAAGGTTACTGAAAAGGTGGTACTTTCACGTATAGGTAGATACGCAAAGGGAGATTGTGAAAATGATTATTGAATTGAACATTTTATTTGTTTGTTTTGGTACTTGAGTAGTTGAGTACAGTGTCTAGTGTTATTTATATTCCACAAGGGTGGTCTACTGCATGTGTTTGTGATTTAGTAGTCAACTGTGGTGACTGTTAGAGGGTGGTTGATTTCCACAGTCTGGACAAATTTTGTGAGAGAAGCAGATGATTCGGGTAGGGTTTCTTTTTCTTCAATTTTGTTGTTGTACATTCTGCCCCAAAAGGCAATAGAAAAAGAATTCTTCCTGAGCTTTTTGGTAAAAATTATGAGATACTTTTACCCTTCGCCTTTTCGTTTTGTGGGGTCACTCAGATACGAAACGATATCAAACCCAACCCCCTCTACATTTTTTTTCTTTGCCCACTTCCCCAAAGTTACATTAACACAGAAAAGGAAATTCTTTTGGCCACATTTTTTGGAATTTAATTTCAATGTTCCGTGCTAAGTATAATATTTGATGAATTTAATTTTGATGTACTAAATTTTTTATACAATCATGGAGTTAAATTAAGTTATTTACATTATTTTTAAAGTAATATGTAATTGATTATAGATATAAAAGTCTTTTATATTAATAATGCATAGAAATTAAATTTTATATTTAATTATATAATGTTATGTTAACAAAAAATAATAACTTTTTATATTTATTGTTTCAATGGTTATTAAACAAATTAATGTAATTAAATGAGTGTGTAAAATATTTAGTATATCAAAATTAAATTTATATTTTTTATAAAAAATAAAAACAAATATGGTAGGATTGATCCAAAGGAAAAAAAAGAAAAAGAAAAATATTAGTTATTTAATATTTTTATAAAAATATATTTTTTTTGTTGGTTCTAAAGTAAAAGTTATCTTCTTTTTATTCCTCGGAGGACTAATTCCTCGTTATTTTAATTAAATGAATATATTAAAATAAAAAATTATGTTCATAATAAATAAAAAATTAGACCGCGCTAGAAGACAAAAAGGCGGAGTTGTTTGACCTTTTATACCACCAAAGACAAAGGATTTGTTAACCTTCCTAATAAATAAATAATAGTAATATAATGCTGGAGATTTAGACGAATCATTAAGTTTAATGATTGTTTAATAATTAATTAATAAGGTAGTTTATGCTCACGAGAGGAGGGAAGTTTCTAATTGGATGAACGAAGATTGTGATTTGTGAATTACTGAAATGAATACTTGGTAGCAGGCAAGGAGAGCATTACGGGCACTGAAAGGATTAGTGAAGCTTCAAGCACTTGTGAGAGGCCACATTGTAAGGAAGAGAACAGCACAACAGATGAAAAAATGGCAAGCTCTTTTAAGAGCACAAGCTAGAGTTTGTGCTGGCAGAGTTCATATCCTCCAAACCCCTATTTCCACTTCTAAGTCATCTTCTACCTCCCACCTTCATGTAAGTTCTTACTAACTTGCTCTTTCATTTAAAAATTTAAAATTGTTTTATGTACTTATTTTGCTTGACAAATATTTTTTTTAATTAAAAAGTAGTACATATCCATGGTCATGCGCATGGTGATTGAGTTGTCTAAATTAAGTTTGTCAATGCAGTGAAGGCCAGGGTCCACTTGCACCAAAAACTAAACAAATACTAATAAATTTACTAACTTATGTTTTTTTATTTTATTTTTAAGTGTGTGTTTGTGTGAGAGAGTGTAAGAGAGAGACGTTGCTAATGTATTTTTCTTGGTATGATCGTTTACAGGGGCCAGCAACACCAGAAAAGTTTGAAAGTCCAATCAGATCTAAAAGCATGAAACATGAGCATTCACCGTTACTTAAGGTATTTATTCACTGGCATGATCTACCAAATGGATTTAATTTGAATGCATGTTAGCATAAAAGAATTTTAATAGAAAAAAAAAAATCTTTCATTAGTTTTATTTTTATCATCTTTTATTCTACACATAATTTTTATAGTTTAATAAAAATATTTAATTTGTTATTTCAATTATGAAAATGTCGTAATAAGTTTTAACACAGTAACTTGTGTTTTGTTTTTATTTCAATATATAATTTAATTGGATGGTGTTGCAAAACTCTTCTGTATTGTCAGTTGCATAGTAATTATACTCTAAAAAAAAAAACATACTAATTGAATCTTATGGAATATAATTTGTCTATTAATGGAAACATGCATTTCTATGATTGTAGAGAAATTGCTCCAAATCATGCCTCCAGCAGGTCCATGGTAGTAGTAGCCAAGAGAAATGTAGAAACAAATCAGAAAAAAACATAGATGACCTATCATGGAACCAAGAAAAATCATCAATCAGAACCTCTAGCACCATCAATGGTGACAAAAGCGACAAGAACCCTGACGCTGAAATTGATTCCAGAAGATCACATGCCACGTCATCATCAAGACGTAGGAGCCTCTTTTCCGCAACCATCAACAAGGAATCATCATCAGTGATATCTCTTCAATCAGGCCCAAGCCCATCTTTTGAGGTCCAGTCTCAGAGCCCAATTAAGCCCAATTGGGTTGAGGATAGCCCATTTTGCACAGCTGAAAACAGCCCTCAATACCTATCAGCATCTTCCAAAGATAATGGATCCAAAAGAAGCCCTTTTGGTGGGTCAAGGTCAAGGAGCTATATTTGTGACTATTCTGATTACCCAAGTTACATGGCATGCACTGAATCTTCAAAGGCAAAAGTGAGGTCTCTTAGTGCCCCAAAACAAAGGCCTAACCAATGTGATAGGTCAAGTTCATCTAATAGGTACTCACTCAATGGATTGGTCTCTCAGAGGCCCAATTATGCTTTGCAAGGAAGCTTCAACAACAAGGCTTATCCAGGTTCTGGTCGTTTGGACAAGCATGGAATGCCTGTGGGATATAGATTCTAATCTGTAGTTACATGAAGTTATGCTAAGAATTGATATAACATGTGACACTTAACCCTCTTCTTTATTGAGGTTTAATTAATTGTGGTAGCATTTGAAATCTGATATATTTTTAGGAAGTAAGAGTTAAGTGAGTAGAATGAGTGTAGGACTTGTGTAAGGGGGTGGGTTCTTTCCAATTTCCTATAATGTAATAGGCTAATATTTATGTATCTAATCTCACTACTTGGATTTGACTGATTGATGGGATTTTAAATTTTTATCATAGCCTTAAAGCATTAATTGTTTGCATAGTATGTCTCATAATTGAGAAATGTTAGGAAAATAACCAAAATCAACAACTATTGTTAAGAACACTCAAAAAGAGTGGAGGAGAGTATCTCAAAAATCTTGTGTAAAGTTTATTAATCACACACACCAAGTCTCTAACTAAATATATTCAGAAGATGCAATGCACAATAGGGTGTTAGCCGAGTGCTAATCAGATCTTAACACGTTTATTACGATTTTTTATTAAAATGGAAATATTAATACGGAAACAAAATTATTACATATGGTATTTACTGATATGGTAATATATGTAAAAAAATTAAATAATTATTTATTACAAGTAAGGTAAACAAGTAGAAAGAAAGAAACAAGGCGGTGTCGTGGTGTAGTTGGTTATCACGTCAGTCTAACACACTGAAGGTCTCCGGTTCGAGTCCGGGGACGCCATCTTTTTATTGATAATCTTTATGTGTATTGAAAAAGTCTATTGTCATAGAACCCTTTGTTTTTCAACAGTATTTATTTCTCAATTGATTCAATGAATTGACCCATTTTGTATGTGCTTCGATTTATTAGGTTGTGACCTTAGACTATTGAAGCTCCATAAAATTACAACAAGTTTTGCATATTTTTTTTTTTAAAAAAAAAATACAACAAAAAATAGCGGAGTTTTTAAGAATGGAATCTGTCATGTAAAAATATCACATTTGTTCTACAGGGATTTTCATCAATAATCAGATACATTTAAAATTCCTATGCTTAGACATTTTCTTAAATAACGGTGAAGTTTCATCTGATGATTTAAACCTTAACATGAGATTATCCACTTTACATTTTAGACTTTCATCACCGTTTGTTTAAATTTTAAGTAGTGAAACTTGTATTTTCTTACATACCCTCAAATTTAAAATTTGCAACACTAAACATTCCGGAAACTAATCATAACCTCACCCAAACAAGAACCAATTCCTATTCAGACAAGATATTTGGGGAAATGGCATTCATCTAAGCTAAACATATTTATAGAAGCCAAAATAACTACCATCAGTTAAGCATTTGAACATCAGAAATAACCTCATAGATTATCCCCTCTACCAGAAATGAAAAAAAGAAAAGAAAAAGGAAGCTAACATATAAGCTGTACTTGGAACCTACTCATGCAGCTTTAGCTGTA